GCTGGCGGTTCAAACCCACCAGCCACTCCTCAGAAGGAAGATGGGGCAATCTACTTTCGTAGTGATACTGCCTCGGAAACCCAAGGAGGGGTTGCTATGAGTTGGGTCCAACTCGACGGCACATAACAACAACATGCCTTACAAAAATGCAGACTATCGTAATGGAAAGAGTATAGGAGTCTGGGTAATAACTGTGGGTTCAAGTTCCAGCTCTGGCACTTACTAGCTTTATATGACCATGGGTGAGTTATTTAGCTTCTCTGAGTTTCAATTTTCCTATTCCACAAGAGGTGATGCATCCTATAAGATTTATATCCTAGGGTTGTTGAAAAGAGTGCATAATAAAATAATGCTTTTAAAACTGTGTAAGATTCTATGAAATTGTACATTTTATTTTACTTTGTCATTTGACTCAGGTGTATTAGGAGCAGTTAACTTCACATACCATCATTTTCTACCCTGATACAGAAGAGCCAATAGAATCTCTAAACTTGTCCTTCTGTTTTAAAAATTACTATGTTCTCACCGGGAGCTATGGTAGCATAGTGCCTAAGGCACTTGACTGCTAACCAGAAAGCTGGCGATTCAAACCCACCAGCCACTCCTTGGAAAGAAGGCTGGGCAACCTACTTCCGTAGTGATACTGCCTCTGAATCCCAAGGAGGGGTCACTATGAGGCAGGGCTGACTTGACGGCAAATAACAACAACATGTTCTCACTATCTTGCTTGATCCCAAGAATACAATGACAAACAAACATGGTTCCTGCCCTAGAAGAAGTTATAATGGGGAAAGGAGAGGGTAGAATAGCAGACAACATGTGACCAAATGCAGTACTAGCTAAGGAGATAAATTATACTAGAGGTGTGTACAGAGTGCTTCAGAGCAGAGGCAAATGGGTCCCCTTTGACTGCTAACCAGAAGGCTGGTGGTTCAAACCCACCAGCCACTCCTCAGAAGGAAGACTGGGCAATCTACTTCTGTAGAGATACCACCTCGGAAACCCAAGGAGGGGTCTCTATGAGTCAGATCCTACTCGACTGCAGTGAGGTTTTTTTTTTTTTTTGGTTTAAGGCTCACTGACAGGTCAGGGAAGCTTTTCAGAGGAATTGATGCTTAAGATGAGTTTTGAAAAAAAGGTAAAAGCTACCTAAATTAAGAAATTGTGACAATGGAAGGCATTCCAGGAGGAAAGAACAGACTATTCAAAGGCAGAGAGGAGAGATCAGCACATGTACCCAGGAAATAAGTAGAGCCTGGAGCCTGACATAGATGCGTGCAGGACTAAGGCCAAAGGAAACCAGGGCCAGGTCACCAGATGCCTGTGCTAAGCCAGGGAGCTGAGTTTATCTCAAAAGCTATGGGGAATCACTGAAGATCATAAGCAGAATGACAGGAACACATCTGTGTTATCAAAAATCCCCCAGGCAGCAGAGTGAAGGATGAATTAATTGTAAGGAAGTATGACTGTGAGCAGTGAGAACAGAGCTACTGCCATGATGTAGGGCCCTAAACTCAAGTGAATACAGGGAGGGCATAGATGTAAGAGATGGGAAAGTTGAGTGCTTAACCATTTGCACTATGCAGGGACTCCAGAATCTACAGTAATTGAAAATTCAAATTAACTTAATAAAAAAATGTTGTGACTCTTCTTAGATTAGTGCTATATGTGAAAGATCAGATTTTTAATAAAATGCTGCCAAACATGACTTCAATTAAATGCCAAAAATATAGTCAGCTAATTCCACCACTCCTTTGCCAGTTCGTTGCACTGTCGATGCTTGTGTGTTGCTGTGATGCTAGAAGCTATGCCACTGGCATTTCAAGTACCAGCAGGATCACCATGGTAGACAGGTTTCAGTGGAACTTTCAGACTAGAATGGAGGTCTTGGTGATCTAATTCTGAAAAAATTGGCCAGTGAAAACCTGATGAATAGCAGCAGAACACTGTCTGATATAGTGCTGAAAGATGAGCCCCTCAGGTTGGAAAGCACTCAAAATACAATTGGAGAAGAGCTGCCTCCTCAAAGTAGAATCAACCTTAATGATGTGGATGGAGTGCAGCTTTCAGGACCTACATTTGTTGATGTGGCACAACTTGAAATGTAAAGAAACAGCTGTAAACATCCATTGATTATCAGAATGTGGAATGTATTATGAAGTATAGATCTAAGAAAACTGGAAGTTGTTAAAAATGAAATGGAACTCCTAAAGATTGATATCCTAGGCATTAGTGAGCTTAAATGGACTGCTATCGGCCATTTTGAATCAGACCATCATATAGTCTACTATGTCAGGAATGGCAAATTGAAGAGGAATGGCATCACACTCATCATCAAAAAGAACACTTAAAGATCTATCCTGAAGTACAGCACCACCAGTGATAGGACAACATCCATAAGGAAGACAAGTTAATACAATTATTACTCAAATTGGAAGGAAGATGGGGCAATCTACTTCTGTAAAGATTTACAGCCCCAGAAACCCAATGGAAATCATTATGAGTGGGACTCAATTTGTTGGTAGTGAGTTTGGTTTGGTTTTTTATTCACATTTACCCACCAACCACTAATGCCAAAGATGAAGAAGTTAAAGGTTTTTACCAACTTCTAAAGTCTGAAATTGATCAAATATGCAATCAAGATGCATGGTAATTACTGGTGATTGGAATGCAAAAGTTGGAAACAATGGGGAAGGATCAGTAGTTGGCCTTGGTGATAGAAACATGGCCAGGTATTGCTGACGTCAGATGGATCATGGCTGGAAGCAGAGAATACTAGAAAGTTTTATTGACTATACAAAGGCATTCAACTTTGTGGATCTTAAAAATTATGGACATCATTGCCAAGAATGGGAATTCCAGAAGACTTAAATGTGCTCAAAAGAATCCTGGACATAGATCAAGAGGGAGTCTTTCAAACAAAACAAGGGGATACTGCATTGTTTAAAATCAGAAAAGATGTGTATCAAGGTTGTATCACTTCACCATACTTCTTCAATCTGTATACTAAGCAAATAATCTGGGAAGCTGAACTATATGGAAAAAAAAATGTTGCATCAGGATTAAAGGAAGATTCATTAACAATCTGTGATATGCAGATGACAAACCTTGCTTACTGGAAGCAAAGAGGACTTGAAGTACTTACTGATGAAGATAAAAGACTACAGCCTTCAGTATGGATTACACCTCAACATAAAGAAAACATAGGTCCTCAAAACTGGACCAATAAGCAACATCATGATAACAGAAAAGACTGAAGTTGTCAAGAATTTCATTTTATGTGGATCCACAATCAATTCCCATAGAACCAGCAGTCAAGAAATCAAACGATGTAGTAGATCTGGCAAAATCTGTTACAAAAGAACTCTTTAAAGTGTTAAAAAAGGAAAGATGTCACTTTAAGGACAGAAGTGCACCTGATCCAAGCCATGACATTTTCAGTCACCTCATATGCATGCAAAAGTTGGACAATGAGTCAGAATGAAGAAGAATTGATGTCTTTGAATGGTGGTGTTGACGAAGAATATTGAATACACCATGGGCTTTCAGAAGAATGAACAAATCTATTTGGAAGAGGTACAGACAGAATGTTCCTTTGAAGTGAGGATGGTGAGACCTCATCATCACTTTGGACATGTTATCAAGAGGGGTTAGTCCCTGGAGAAGGATATCATGGTTGGTAAAGTAGGGGGGCACTGAAAAAGGGAAAGACCATCAACGAGATGGATTGACATAGTCGCTGCAACAATGGGCCCAAGCATTGGAATGACTGTGAGGATGGGGCAGGATCAGGCAGTGTTTGATGTTGTTGTACAAAGTGTCTCTGTGAGTCAGAACCAACTCATCAGCACCTAACAAAAATTGCTTATTGTTTATTGAAATTTCACTATGGTCTCTGACCACAGTCCAAAGCATTTCTTGATGAATCTCCTTTAGAATTACACTCCTGGTTGGTTTTCTTGACATAACAGAAAATTAGAGGTGGATTTGGCATCTGAAATAGTAGTATTACTGGAAGTATTGACGTGTTGAGTGTGTCTGTGGAGAAATAGTTAAGTGCAAGTTAAGCAATGACCCATCCTGGGGAGAGGTAGGGGGTTTGAAAGAGCATGCTTTCTGAAGCTACCAAGAGAGCTATCTATATTGAAGGAATTTGCTGATTATTTGTTCAATTGTCTTTTGACCTTGTGAAAACAGATTGAGTATTTTTAGTAATTTTTTAAAATAAGATCATGTCTACATCATACTGCTGTCTACAAAAAGTGATCTTCCATTTTGCTCATACATTGGAAATGTAACTTCAACCTGCTGGATACTGAGACAAATCATGCATTAGCCTGGAAGAAAACTACCAGTGATATTTGAAGCCAATACTTTGATGCAAAGGGTTGAGTCATTAAGGAATCATTTGTCTCATGCAGATGTGGTGTCATCCAACGAATAGTATCACAGTATCTGCCTTTGTTAGGTACTAAATCCTTCCTATAGCCAGAAGGTATAGTCCCACCCCAACCTTCCTTTGTGTGTGTGTATATATATGTGTGTGTATATGTGTGTATATATACATGTATATGTGTGTGTATATGTGTGTGTATACATATACATACACACACATACACATACACATATATATATATATATATATATATATATATATATACACATATCTTAAGGAATCGAGAACCACACCTCAGGCCCTCTTTCTTATTTGCAAACCCTGCTTTCTGGCCTGGGGCTCTCCAGCTTAGTTGATTTTTTCCTGGGGGCTGAGGGTGGGAGAGAAAGTAGTCTAGAATAGTGACTACAATGTTCCCCAAGGTTTTGTATCTCATTTCAAGTCTGCTGATAAAATAAAATAAAATAAAAGACATAAGAGAAACTACTCCTAAAGGAAGCTTAAAGAAACCTAGAACAAAGGAAGCAAGGGGGACCCTCTACCAGTAAAGAGATCACTCAGATTATCAGGAGCAAGGCAAGGGCAAAATCAGGGCCAGTTCATTGTCTCCCTGTTTTCATTGTTGATTCATTCACTTCTCTATTTGACATATGTATATATGTGTCATACACACACACATACACACACACACATGTATCTCTATTTGATATGTATATGAAGTATTTTATATATATCAAGTACCACCATATTCCATGAACTTGAAGTACAATGGAAATAAGAGGTTATCCCTCCTTTTATAGAGTTCCCACTTCAGTGAGAAAGACTGCTATGAAGACAAGCAATTATTTGGCTGTTAAGCCATTGACTGAGTGAAATCTGGAAATAGTTTAAAGAGAAAGTCAAATTAAGATAAGGGTACTTTTGGTGATTTATAAGACTAGCGTTTTACAAATAGGACCTAAATTTAAACTAGGAAGCACCATAGATCAAATAGTTAAAGCCCAGTTTGACTAGCTCTGTAGTAATATCCTGCTATCTGCTGAAACATAAAATATTACCCTGATTAAATCCAAATAATCTTTAGAGTGAAATGTATACAGTAAGTATGAAAAATCACTGATTTCTGATTTATCACCACAGCTAACGTTTCCTTTACAACCTCACAGATGACTTGCAAGAAAAGCATGAAGAAAAGTTTGATTATTTTTTTTTTACTGTGATTTGGGTGAAAATTTACAGAGAGAAAAGTTTGGTTTTTGAATGAGTTTTTAAAATAACATTTACTTATTTATAATCTTAAAGGTGATACATACTTGTAGAAAAATGCGAGAATACAGAAAACTGTGAAGAAGAATATGAAAACTCTCAGCCAGTTATTGCATTAAACATTGTGGATAATTAAGCTCAAAATGTAAAAAGCCAACATAACCTGATTGTACTGAGTTCATGGTGGCTAACTGTCTAACGTGTACCCTTCAGCTTTGTCTGGCCCTGGCCTTGTGCAAATGGTGGCGATTTGTGTTGAATCCATCAAAACACACCTGGAAAGGCTGGAGGAGGTCACCAATCCATCGGGCTGCATAGACGTGCTGACCCTCATGCGACGCATCATGCTGGACACCTCCAACATGCTCTTTCTGAGGATCCCCTTGGATGGTACTAAAATTTTGATTCTTGTGACTTGATATCCTGTTCTTTTTCCAAGACGGCAATGAGATGGGTAACAGATTCAAACAAATGCTGTTTAAACAGTGAGCTTGTTTAAGATTTACTTTTTCCTAACTAAATACTTCTAAAGTGGTTTTTTTTTTTTTTTTAATCTAGTACCTCTGTCTTGTTCACTTATGAGATATAAATTTCCAAAAATTACAGACCATTTTGTATTTCTTTGTTATCTCTCCTGATTGCTCTGGGAAGTAGGACTCTCCCCAGAGTAGAAACTTAATAAATGTCATTTTTATAACTTACCACCAATCAAGGGAGCTCTGGTAGCATAATGCCTAAGGCACTTAACTACTAACCAGAAGGCTGGCAGTTCAAACCCACCAGCACTCCTTGGAAGGAAGGTTGGGCAATCTACTTCCGTAGTAATACTGCCTCAGAAACCCAAGGAGAGGTCGCTGTCAGTCGGAGATGACTCAACAGCACATAACAACAATAACAACAACCAATCAAACCGATATAGTTAACCATTTCTAACCATTCTTTTGGTCATTAAATATACATATTACATATATGTATATATATTCCTTTCCAGCTACTAAGTATGAAAACTTAGTAGATAGACTTTTAGTCTATCTATATGATGATAATAGTGATGCTATTGCTACTGCTGATGAAAATGGTGATAATAGCTATTGTTAAGCATCTCTGGCTTAGTGGTTACAGTGCTTGGCTGCATACCAAAAGATTGATGGTTTGAACCCCAACCACATCCATGGGAGAAATATGTGCTTCTGTAAAGATGTACAGCCTTGGAAACCCTGTGGAGCAATTCTACTCTGTCCTACAGGATCACTATGAGTTGGAATCAAGTCAATGACAGCGGGTTTGGTATATGGCAAGCAGTATGAAAGTGCTTTACATGCAGTTTCTCATTTAATATTTATAGCAATCCCAACAAGATATCACTCAAAAATCTACTTTCTTCACTACACATACTAAAACATGCACCCACAACTTCACTAGCTCCAAAAACCAAATATTGATCATTTGAACTAATTCCATTCTGCCATTGACAGTAGGTCCAACATAATTATTCCTGAATTAACTTATAGCTGTGCTCATTGATTCATACATTCATTCAATAAATATTTAGTCATTGCCTACTTTATGCCAGGCACTATTCTAGGTTCTGGGGCGAAAAAGTAGGGAAAGGACAGATAGAATTCTTGCATTAGAAGAACTTAAATTCCAGAAGACAGTGGGGAAAACAAAATCTTATATGATATTAGACAATAATAAATGGCTCTAAGGAAAAATTAAGCAGGATAAAGGGATGGAAAGTGAAAGGGCAGTGTAAGCAAGCAGGAGAATGTGGTCAGGGAAGGTCTCTGCAGAGAAGACACTTGAACAGAGGTCCAAATGAAGTGAACCCACGAGCAGGCACAGACCTGGGGTGTTAAAAAATAATAAAAACTCAATGAAATTTGAATATAAGGTTTATTCTGAGCAGATGAGTTGGAATCCACTTGACAGCAGTGAGTTTGGTTTTTCGAGTTTTTATTCTATATGTATACAGGGAGGCCATTTTGATTCTAGAAAAAGCAAATGGCTCCAAGAAGTTAGGTACAATGGGGCTTACAAAGATAAGTGGAGAGAGAAATATAGAAGATCAACCCTTGGCTAATGTTAACATGATTGATTGAACCCTACCTTCCTCCTTTACTGAGATCCAATGATACCTTGTTACTTCGGGTGTGGCTGTTAATAATCTTGCTGGCACAGTGCCTAAAGCATTTGACTGCTAACCAGAAGGTTGATGGTTCAAACCCACCAGCTAATCCTTGGAAGGAAGATGGGGCAATCTATTTCTGTAAAGATACCACCCTGGAAACTCAGTGGGGGTCACTACAAGTCAGAATGGACTTGATGGCAGTGGGTTTGGTTTTGTCTGACCCCTCTGCAGCCATAAGGCTTTTTGAGATTTAAATTAGGAGGTAATGGTTTGACAACTCCTTTTCTAGCAGCATAAGACAAATTTACATTGCTGTAGAGCCACTCCTTGGAAGGCTGGGCATTCTAGTTCCTCATTGTTACTGCCTCGGATCCCTATGGGTCGAGTCCAACTCGACGGCACATAACAACAACAACAAGAAAAGCAGTTTCTGGCAAGCTTTTTATGGTTGATATTTTGTTTTGTGGATAAGATAACCTAAAAATCAAAGGAAGATGTGAGTTATCAATTTTCCTACTCAACAGGGGAAGAACATTTCAGGCAGAGGGGCAACGCATCGGTTTAACAGCTGCCCAAGCAGCTGAGCTTTAACACATGCCTCTCTGATTTACCACCTTAGGTCAAATTGGCAAGCTATAAACTGCATTTTTCTTCTCCAGTCCTCATTGCCTCATCTTCCCTGCTTTTTAACTACTGCTTACAGAGCCCTCAAAACCACATCTGATTGTCATTTGGATAGCTCCCATTCACGACAAGAATTTATAGTCATATCCTCTCATCTAATCCCCTTTCAAACAGGGACTTTATTGGCAGCTTGCCTGTTCTGCTTGTTACTGTTATTGGCCATCGAGTGGGACCAGATTCATAGCGACCCCTCCTTGGGTTTCCGAGGTGGTATCACTACGGAAGCATAATGCCCAACCTTCCTGCTGAGGAGTGGCTGGTGGGTTTGAACCACCAGCCTTCTGGTTAGCAGTCAAGTGCCTTAGTCACTATGCTACCAGAGCTCCTTGCCTGTTCTGCATCTTTCCTAAAATAGTTGTCGTTAAGTGCCTTTGAGTTGATTGTGACTCACAGTTACCCCATGCACAACACAATGAAACACCGCCCAGTCCTGCATCATCCTCACAATCATTGGTTTGTTTGAGCCCATTGCTGCAGCCACCATGTCACTCCATCACATTAAGTGCCTTCCTTTTCTTTGTTGGCCCTCTACTGAGCATGATATCCTTCTGCAGGGACAAGTCCCTCCTGATGACATGGTCAAAGTATGTGAGATGAAGTTTTGCCATCTTTGTTTCTAAGGAGCATTCTGGCTGTACTTCTTCCAAGACAGACTTATTTGTTTAATGGCAGACCATAGTATATATATTCAATATTCTTCACCAACACCACAATTCAAATGCATCAATTCTTCTTCGCTCTTCCTTATTCATTATCCAGCTTTCGCATGCATGTGAGACGATTAAAAATACTGTGGCTTGGGTCAGGCACACCTTAGTTCTCAAAATGGCATCTCTGCTCTTTAACACTTTAAAGAGGTAGGCACATATTTTATAAGCCCTGCTCCTTGATTCTCCTCTACCTTTGGCTGTTAAGAAGGATCATGTAAGAGGAATTGTCAACCTCTCTATTAACTTGTACATGAATACACATATAGAGAGTGAAGCTAGAAAACCTGCATAACCAGTGCAAAGTTGTTTTTCTTTTTCCCTTCTCCTCATTGGGAACTTGTGAAACTTGATTTGCCTGAGGGACCCAGTGCTACGAAGAGGAAAGAACTGTCCTGCCTGCCTCTTGGGTATTGGTATTGGGAAAGAATATTGAATATACTGGGGACTGCCAGAAGAAAGAACCAATCTGTCTTGGAAGAAGTATACCCAGAATGCTCCTTAGAAGCAAGGATGACAAAACTTCATCTCACGTATTTTGGACATATTATCAAGAGAGACCAGTCCCTGGAGAAGGATGTCATGCTTAGTAAAGAAGAGGGCCAGCGAAAAAGAGCAGCCTAGCTCAAGCATAGCAACCGTAGTGAGGAAGCACAGGACTGGGTGGTGTTTTGTTCTGTTGTGCATGGGGTCACCGTGAGTCAGAATCCACTCAGTAGCACCTAATAGCAATAGACTGTGTCTCAAACACAAAGTTGAAAACTGGCAGCTCTCTGGTCAATTTGGTTGATTTAGATGCCAAGTAGAATATATTACTGTTTGATTCATCTGATGGTAGTCACATGGCTAAAATGTTCCTAAAGGTAGAAACACATGCAATGTAGAAATCCAGAGCGGTAGGAGAATCTACCGGGAATGTTCTCTGCTGAGAGCACCCATCTTGGGCTCACATTTTGCTCATTTGCTCAGCTCTTTTATTTTTCCTTTTTCCAGAAAGTGCCATCGTGATTAAAATCCAGGGTTATTTTAATGCATGGCAAGCTCTCCTTCTCAAACCAGACATTTTCTTTAAGATTTCTTGGCTCTACAAAAAGTATGAAAAATCTGTGTAAGTAAAACAAGTTTGTAAGATTTGTAAATGTGATTGAATTGTTTTGTTTTGTGTCTTTTCTATTGTTTTCCTCTTCGGTAAGTTTTCTGGTCTCCAGAGTCCAAAGGATATTGCTGATTTTGTTGCTTATGAAACACTTCTTATAGCACCAGGCCAAAGAGTGAAAAAGTTTGTAACTGGGGCAGCTTCTCAACAAGGGGCCAAGTGTATACTCTAAGAGCTTTATCTCTGGAACTTGGACACTAATTATATTATGAATTGAAGAGAAGGGTTGGTTGACCCTATCAAACTTCTCTTTCAAAATCCTCTGCATATCTGGAAAAATGGAAACACAGAATCAACTTACAGTTGTTTTTTTTTTTTTTTTAAAGGAATTTGATACAATTCAACTTATAGGAATTTATAATATTCTAAAAGAGAGTTTTTTTCATAATGAACTAAGTCTTCAATGATGTGTGTGCATGTTTGGTTTTTTTTTTGGCTTATGTTTTGTTGTTGTCATTATTTGTTATATATGGTATGTCTTTGGAATCTTGAAGCTGTCATCATATAGCTTTGTTTAGAGATCACAGCCTTGATTTTGCTGAAGAAATTTTATCCAACATCAAGTCCTTAAGAAGAAAAATAAAATGTATGTAATTTAAGGAAATTTGTGAAGAAATAAAACATGAATTTACTAATTCATGAGCCCTAATGACTATAGAGCAGATTATTTTATTTCAACAAATGGCAAATGAATCTGTTTTGTTAGATGTCTAAGCTCAGTACAGGTAGATTATAATTTGACTTTTTTTTTTTCCCCTAGCAAAGATTTGAAAGATGCCTTAGAAATTCTAATTGAAGAAAAGAGACACAGAATTTCTGAGGCAGAGAAACTGGAAGACAGTATGGATTTTGCCACTGAGTTGATTTTTGCTGAGGTACTGACCTGAACTAACCATAACTCCTACACAACATGCATGAATGACTCTATATTTATGTATGTGTGTGAAGTTTCTCTCGTGGAATTGTTGCATATTTCTTTTAAGTACTTCCTCTAGTGCTTCTATAATACCCAAGTCAAATAGCCCATATATTAGTATTCTAGCAAGATTGACCTTTACCTTTGAAACTATTTGCATGTACACAACACAAAAATATGAAAACGGGTGGGAGGGAGGTTGAAGAGATAAAGGTGGGCAGGAAGGACTCCAAAGACACTGAATAAATGAATAATTGCTTAAATTGTGCAGTTTTTAACTGAAGATTGTCATATAAAATGTTCATAGTCAATTTCTATGATTTCATTTCATTGAGGTTGTTGATCCTTGAGTGTCACCTCCCCTCCTTTTGTGAAACTTCAATTCACTTTTCCAATTTTTATCTCTTCTTTTGTTTGTTCAGAAACGTGGTGACCTGACGAAAGAGAATGTGAACCAGTGCATATTGGAAATGTTGATTGCAGCACCTGACACCATGTCTGTCTCTGTATTCTTCATGCTATTTCTCATTGCAAAGCATCCTAAAGTTGAAGAGGCGTTAATGAAGGACATTCAGACTGTTCTTGGTAATAATTTATCAAATGAGTAATAATCACTGTCATTGAGCCAATTCCAACTCATAGCAACCCTATAGGACAGAGTAGAACTGCCTCACAGGTTTCCAAATCTTTACAGACTGCAATCTTTCTCCTGCACAGAGGCTGGTGGGTTCAAACCACCAACTTTTCAGTTAGCAGCCAAGTACTATAACCGCTGTAAAAAAAAAAAAAACAAGCTCACTGCCATCGAGTTGGTTCTGACTCATAGTGACTCCTTCTTGCCTTCTCGGGTTTCCGAGGTGGTATCTCTATGGATGTAGATTGCCCAGTCTTCCTTCTGAGGAGTGTCAAGTAGGTTTGAACTGCCAGCCTTCTGGTTAGCAGGCAAATGCCTTAGGCACTAAACCACCAGAGTTCCTATTGTATTTGAGGGTTCCTCAAATAAGTAATGGAGCATCAGGCTAAACAAAGGCAGTGGGGATGTCTGTCACTCCCCAGCTCACTCATTTAGGGCTGATCTGAGGCACTTGTGGTGAGGAGAGGGGAATCCTTGACACTCTACCTCCAGTGGTTCTTTTTTATTTTTAACATTTTATTCTGGTTTGGGAGAAAGTTTACAGAGCACATTAGTTTCATATTCAACAATTTATATGCATTTTGTTTCTTGACATTAGTTGTAATATCCTCAATCTAACAACATTTTTCCTACTTCCTCCCTGAGTTCCCTGTTTCCATTAGTCCTTCTTTCCTGTCCCTTCCTGCCTACTGAACTTTGTTTTTGGGCAAATGGTGACCTTTTGGTCTTGTATAATTGGTTGTTTTGAGGAGAGCATTCCTCATGGGTATTATTGTTCACTTTATAGGCCTATCATTTGGCATTCGTTCAAGCAAGAGCAAGTTTCAGACTCTTCTGACATCCATTTTTGTTTTACCTTCTTTCCTGTCCTTTTAATGAATCTTTTGCTTTCTTCATTTATGACGTCATTGATGTCATCCCACAACTTATCTGGTCTTTGGTCACTATGAGTAAGGGCCGACTCGATGGCACATAACAACAACAACATGGAATTCTCCAGATTTTAAGATAATGAGCTTCTAATTTTATTTTTTAAAATCATTCTGTGCACAAAATATGACATGTTTGACAAAGTTGCTGGTTTGCAACCTCTGACTCAGGCCTGTGCATTAGGATTATAGGCTTTAATTTTTACTTTTTTCAACTGAGAGCAAACTGTTCTGTGGAAACTATTGAAGCTTTAATCCCCATCACATATTGAAATCAACATTACCTCCTTTGTCCTTTTTATCTCTTCTCACAGGTGAAAGAGACATAAGAATTGATGATTTACCAAAATTAAAAGTTGTGGAAAACTTCATTTATGAAAGCATGAGATACCAGCCTGTTGTGGATTTGGTCATGCGCAAAGCTTTACAAGATGATGTCATTGATGGCTACCCAGTGAAAAAGGGGACCAATATTATTCTGAATATTGGAAGAATGCATAGACTAGAGTTTTTCCCCAAGCCCAATGAATTTACTCTTGAAAACTTTGCAAAGAATGTAAGAGCCCTTCCTTAAAACTGAGTCTACCACTCTTGAAAATATCATCTGTTAAATCCACTTGGGGTCTGTGTATTTGCACCAGTACATTTTATCCTTTTCACTCTCTCCTTTGTCCCTCTCCTCACCAGGAGCACACATATTCCCTGGTTTAGAAAGTTTAGAATATTTGTCCTCAGGCTCAGGATAGTGGGTCTCCAGCTCTGGAAACTGTCTACGTAGTGGCGACACACAAGTCAAAATTTGAAAAACCCAGGCCATTAGTTTCGCTAATGAGGCTAATTTTTTTAACTTGTTCACCTTACTTTTCCATTTAGACATACCACTTTGCCACCATGTAAATTCAGCCATAACGCCATCTAAGCAAAGGAAAGTCCACATCTGCTTCACATGGAAATCAACTGAGACCAAAAGATTTTGTTTTTTTGTGTCTGTCTTGGTTCACCAAATGGTCCCATGAACAGTAGATTCTATTATAAATAGGACTCAGTAATTAGAAGAAATTCAGCTTTTTCTTTTCCTGTAATTCATGTATACTGGATATTCTGCTTCCATTATATCAAATTTTAAGCAATGGAGTTTTTTTAACCCGAATATTCCCAGTCATTTCCTCATTGCCCTCCTTTTCCGTTTGCATATGTTGTAGAAACATGATCTTAATCAATACAGTTCTTTGACTCCTTTCTACACAGGCAATACAGACAATGTCACATAAAGCCAGTCAATGGGTCAACAAGAACTGATTAAGCACTTCTTATGTGCTAAGTACTATGTAAGTCCAGATGTGAGCTAGATAGATGTGGTTCCTACCCACAAGGACTTTATAATGTGAACCACAAAATTAATTTTCTATATAATTAAAAATCTTTAGATTTGTGGCACTGATAAGCCAAAAAAATTACATAGTTGCCTGAATTTGTCCCTTTCTATCAGGTTATATATTATCACACAAAAATAGTCTTTGCCTTTGCAAAACAGTAGTAGAGTATGGTCATTCCATAGTTAGTTAAGTGTATTACAGCAGTGGCTATAATACAATGATCTGCATTGCTTTCTTTGGTCCAGCACATTTACATGGAAAACAAAGCTGGGGACTGTCTGAGGTTGGGTCTGAATGACAACGGGTGAATCAAACTGGATAGAGAAAAGGGTTTATTGGAGTGATAGCCATCCATCTTAGTGAAGACACAGTATGGCTGAGATGCTGAAACCTGTGTTTTCAGGGTCAGAGAATGCATGACTCTAACCTTTAATACCCTTGCTAACTGTCTGATCATTTTCACAGGTTCCTTACCGGTATTTTCAGCCATTTGGTTTTGGGCCTCGTGCCTGTGCAGGAAAGTACATCGCCATGGTGATGATGAAATCTGTCCTGGTTACACTTCTGAAACGATTCCATGTGAAGACAGTGCAAGGAGGGTGTATTGAAAGCATGCAGAAAAAAAATGACTTGTCCATGCACCCAGATGAGACTGGCAACATGCTAGAAATGATTTTTACCCCAAGAAATTCTGACAACTACCTCGAACACTAAAGAAGTCTGGTTAGTATCTACTCTGAAGCATTTCTCATCTGAGTTCACAAGGAAAACATTCATCCTTATACAGATAGTGTCATCCCCACAATGAACATTTGGTGGCTTGAAGCATTTTATCAGCACACTTTCTATGGGTTGTCAGCAAGCCAGGAGCTATTGGTCATCTAACTTTGCCTGAACCAGAGAACTAGGCTGCAAGAGAAAAGACAGAAGTCAAGAGTTTGCAGATGGAATGGTCAGTAGAGAAACTGTAAGCCTAAAGATCCAATTTTGCAAAACGTGTTCTAGAAAGAATAGACCATCAGCAAAACACATGCCCAATTTCCTATGGAAATACATTCCCTTCGCTGAAATCATTTTAATACAGGTCAGAAGGACTCAAGTCAGTTGGAAGGGCCAAGCAAATGTCTGGGTGACAGGGGCCAAACACACCTGCTAGTATGGATAAAAAATGTACTTTGATTTTGTACATTTTGTACACTGCATTATTCATAGTCCTTGGAGAAATGCTTACTTAAATAGCATTTGACTTTTCCCAATGAACTGTACCCAGTGAACTCTTGTTAATCTACATGTAATTTGTCTGCGGCAAATTTTGAATCTGATGATATCTTTTCCCAGTCACTCAATACATGCCTCAGCTACTTACTTCTGATACAGTAAGTGTAGATTCAGGTAATGCAAATGAATTTAGTAATAGTCTGAGGAACATATAAATAGGCCCATATATCTGGTGTAGGGGGCAATGGAAAGTCACATAATGCATTTCAAATTCAAATAAAATTTTTTTCTTTATGTTTCCATTGTTGCTTAGATCCATTGGTGTGGCTAAACAAGAAATGACTTTAAATAGTGGCATCTATCAACTCTTGCAACAGCTCCAGTGATGTGGGGGAAGGGAAATTCTCTAATCTATATCTAATTCTTTAACCCAGTGGGTTCAAATTTCTAACAAATGCTCCTCTTATACCATTATACTTCTCCATTGACATTTTTCTCTTTCTTTCCATGACTCAAAGCCAAGGGCAACACATCTGTAGAGAACACAGTCAGGTAGAACCACTGCCATCATATTTTTATCCTATCTCAGATCTTACATGGCAAAAAGCAATTTAGAAATTTAACAGTTATCTAGTTTATTGAATCACTGTATGTAGCCAAAAAAAAAAAAAAACAACTACCAAATTTACTGCTGTTGAGTCAGATCTGACTCACAGTGACCCTTCCTCGGGTTTCCAAGGCAGTATCACTATGGAAGTAGATTGTCCAGCCTTCCTTCCAAGGAGTGGCTGGTGGGACCACCAGACTTCTGGTTAGCAGTCAAATGTCTTAGGCACTATGCCACCAGAGGAATCAAATAAATAGGCCAATTTTTCAAACACCACTTTACTTGTGTTACACAGCCAATATGGCTAGATCTACTGAATACCATTTTTAAAACTAAAAAATTAAACTCATCTGCCTGGATATTTACAAATATGCAATATTCTTTTTAACCTAATGTTTGGCAATAGGGCAACAGCTGAGTAGAATAAAAGAATGCATTTTCCTTGAGAGAAGAGTTTTCTTATTTTTGAATCCATCCTCAACCCCCTTGTTCTGACTCTCAGGTTTACTCTCAAGATCAGTACTGAACAGACACTCTTGCACATAGATACTCTTGACTCCAGAAACTAAGTAAAGAAAAAACAAAGCAAAACCAAACCCATTGCCATTGAGTTCACTCTGATTCATGGAGACTCCATGTGCAAGAGGCAGACATTCTAAGAATTCAAGAATGGGCATCAGTTTGAAATTTTTTGTATCATCTATATGGCCTATAAATACTCAGAAATATGCCTATGTACCTGGATATGTCTGTAGTGAGGTCTAGACAATCATTGAAATAATTCAGAGCCCTGAAAACAAGGCCAGGATTTTAGATTTAATGTATCCCAGTTAACTCACTCAATAATAATCATCAACATGCTTTTACATTGCCTCTGCTGGAGAGAAAAACAGACTTTGGATTAGTGTACTCCACCCACCCAATCTCCATGGAATATCTACGTGTATTTTATATGTATATATGTAGCCAAGACCTATGACTATACAGTGAAAGTGAAACGGAAAGTTACTTATGTGTTATATAGATAATGTGGATACAAAAATATTCTGGGAAAACTGGGGGACTGGATAGAGGGGTGTGGAGGACAGGAGGAAGGGAAGTGCTGGTTTGAATGACCCAAAGAAATTAAATCAAACTGGTAATTGTTCAATTTTTGCTCTTCTTGGCCTGCATTAACAACTCCTGCTATTTGTGTGGTCTTGGCCTAAGAAATTTGGAATACCACTGACTTTTCAGTAACCTAATGAACATATATTTGAAAATCCTGCTTTTCTCTTCAGAATTTTGCCTCATGGTTTAGTACTTAATCACCACCCTTGAATGTGCTGTGGATTCTATTTTGTGATCATGTTACTGGGGTCCTGGGACCCTGAGTAGGACTCTTGCCTTCTATGGACAAAGAATTGAACAGGAGAGGCAAAAATGTCCACACAAACCAAAGTTATTAAAGAGAAAGGAGAAGGGAGGAGCTCAGGAGGGAGAGACTGAGAGGGGCTTTCACCTGCGCTAGCCTCCAGTCTCTCACTGAACAAAGGGATTCCTAAGATTTATAAGGTGTCTTTGGCAGGAAAGAGGCATCATCTTTACTGATGGAATGAGTGGGGTTCTAAGGTTCAGATTGTGCATGCATGGTGTCTCTGGATCTAGGTTCCAGCCCCATTGAGAGATACCTGCTCTAGCCTGCCTCTGGTGAAAGGTCACTTTATGGGTCACATTGATTTTTACTGCACATGCTCTTCACCTAGTGGGAGCCCGGTGAGGGACTTGAAAAACAACCTGGAAGATTTTTATCAGTATTTTACAACTGGTCAAGTTTAACAAAAACTAAACTCCTTGCCATTGAGTAGGTTCTGACTTACAGTGACCCCTCCTTGGGTTTCTGAGGCAGTATCTCTAGGGAAGTAGATTGACCCTTGTGGTAGTTATGTTTTTGTGTCAACTTGACTGGGCCTGGTTGAGTGGTTGGGCAGCTGGTGGTAGTTATTCCCCGTGAGGAGACTGGCAATCAGCTCCATGGTGGGATCTACCACAAGCAGCTGAGTAGCTGCCTTTGGGATGTGGTCTGCTTCCTGTATGTAAGGAGAAGCTTTGGGAATGGTCTCTAGCCAATGGCATGCTTGGACCCTACATGTAGCCATGTTGTTGCTCAGCAACCTGCTATGCTCTGCCGACCTTGGGACTTACAATGGACTTAAGTTAATGGCCTGCCGTGTGGTTTGGTAACATCGGGACTGTGCCTTGTTACTTGTCAACCTTGGGGCTTCTCAGCCTCAGCAGCCAGCAGCTGTCTGAGTGAAGAAATGCCTCTAGCTCCAGTGGGCCGGGAACAGGAGGCAAAGCTGGACCCCAAGGTTGAGGGGCTTTCACCCAGCCCCTAGAGCCTGGCACTTTGAACTTGGGCTTAAAGCCTTCAAATTGTAAGAATAAACTCCCGTTTGTTAAAACCATCCCATTTTTGGTATATTTCCTGTCAGAGCGGCACTAGGTAACCAGAACAACACTTTATCTCAGCCAGGTGCCTGGCTTGCCAATTGTAAGCAGTTTTCTGGGACCAGCAGCAAGAATTATGTGGTGGTCTGCACATAGGCTTAAATTCCAAGGGTACTGAGTTAGGGGTTTGTTTAACCTGACTAGCCCAATTCCCTCCCTGTCTCAATCAGCTTTCAAAGAACTGGAATGTGTAAATTATCAGTAAAATGCATGCAAACACAGGTTCTTCATTGTCAAATTGTGAGGTCAATTGTCAAATCGTGAGGTTGGAGGCTACGCCACTAGTGTTTCAAATGCCAGCAGGGTTACCCATGGGAGACAGGTTTCAGCAGAGCTTCCAGACTAAGACAGAGTTGGAGAAGGAAGAGGCCATCAACTTCTCAACAAATTGGCCAGTGAAGACCTTATGAATAGCAGGGAAACACTGTCTGATAAGTCACTGGAAAGGTTTATGAATAGCCCTGAAACATTATGCGATATAGTACCGGAAGGTGAGCCCCTCAGGTTGGAAATCACCCAAAATATGACTGGAGAAGAGCTGCCTCAGACTAGAGCTGACCTTAATGATGTGGATAGAGTAAAGTTTCCAAGACCCTCATTTGCTGATGTGGCATGTCTCAAGATGAGAAGAAACAGCTGCAAACATCCATTAATAATCAGAACATGGAATGTATGAAATATGAATCTAGGAAAATTGGAACTTGTCAAAAATGATATGGAATGCATAAAAATCGATATCCTAGGTAGTAGTGAGCTGAAATGGACTGGTTTGGGCCATTTTGAATCAGATGATCATATGATCTACTATGCTGGGAATGACAAATTGAAGAATGAAGTGACATTCATCATCACAAAGAATATATCAAGATCTATCCTGAAGTACAATGCTGTCAGTGACAGGATTATATCCATAAGCCTATAAGGAAGACCAGTTAATACTACTGTTATTCAAATTTACTCACCAACCACCAAAGCCAAGATGAGGAAATTGAAGATTTTTACCAACTTCTGGTAGCATAGTGCCTAAGGCACTTGACTGTTAACCAGAAGGCTGACAGTTCAAACCCACCAGCCACTCCTCGGAAGGAAGGTTGGGCAATCTAGTTCTGTAGTGATACTGCTTTGGAAACTCAAGGAGGGGTCTCTATGAGTCGGGTCCGACTCAACGGCATGTAACAACAACAATAAACCAACTTCTGCAGTCTGAAATTGACCAAACATGCAATCAAGATGTGTTGATTATCACTGGTGACTGGAATGCAAACATTGGAAACAAAGAAGAGTTACCGGTAGTTGGAAAATATGGCCTTAGTGTTAGAAATGACACTGGAGATCACATGAGAGAATTTTGCAAGACCAATGACTTATTCATTGCAAATATGTTTTTTCAACAACACAGACAGCAGCTATACATGTGAGCTTTACCAGATGGAGTACACAGGAATCAG